TGTTAGGCCAAATAGTGGGCAGGAATGGAAAAAATAAATTCCTGCTCTATTTTGAGGTGGTGCTTTATAAATCTTCTCCAGGTCAATAAGTGACACCTGTCCCCTCTACAAAAAGAAAGGAATACAAGCATTAGCAGATCCTCTAGATCTGGTAATGGTTCATCAATTGTCCCTTAGTATCCCTTTGTGTAGTGATGTGTAGCACATAGGACAGTTAGAGACCTGGGGTATAAGACTGAAGATTAGCTTCAACTAAATTCTCATGCAAGCCCCTGTTGTCCTCTTCCAGTACTTACACAGATCCATCTATCTATAATATACTGTTTTGGGGGGAAGAAAAGAGTCCCCTGTGAAATTTGAAGTCAGTGAAACACCAGAAAGCATTAGATATTTTGAAATACATATATAGACATATATCTAGAAACAGGTTCTAAAAACTGTTGAGAACAAAATGCCCCGCAGTGCCTGGTGCCTACAGAAAGAGCTCAATACAAATAGTTTGTGTTAATCTTTTGTGCCTGGACTCTGAACTCTGATGTTTTACTCCTCAAAACATATGTGAATCAAGCCATATTAGTAATTCTACTGAGCAGACAAAAATCAAAGCCTGAATAACAGAGAAAAATGTTCTGTCTTTTAAACCACTCTCAGCTTTTCCTTAGAACATCACTACAGGACTGGCCTAGAAAGAAAAAAGCAACTGGGGATTTCAGAGTGCTCAATGTCCCTGCAGTGTATGAGACCACTGAAAATTAAAGGCACACTGAAAATAAACTCCTTTAATAAAAACCCATTGTTGGCAATCAATAAGAATTCATTAAGACATCATTTTATAGATCAGAAATTGAGATTAGAACAAGTAAAATTTATAGTTATCATATGATTGATGGATTGGATGGAACTCCGTTGACTTCCAGGTTGGATAAAGTTTCTTAAGTACTGTTTAATCTCAATAAATATTAAAAGACATTTTTGGCTAATCTGAAGAAAAGGTGTGTTGTAGTTTATGCTCTAAAATAGTTTATAGGAAGTTGATTCAAGCATGGAGGAGCCGCTTCTCATTCTAGTCATGAAATAAAAGAATGCACTGGTGGATATTGTAAGATGTCAAACTTAAAAGTGTATCTCAAAAATAGGAGGCATTGAGTGTAATCGATTTCTCTGTGTACCGACTTCTGATAGTTTATGGTTTGTATATGTTTATCATTCTATCTATAGCTGTTAATTTCTGAGATGTTTCCAGTGAAAATGTGAAGGGCAAAACATGAGAATGAGAACACCTCATTCAGTGTAATATTTTTTTTAATCTATTTCACATCATCTCATTTTTCACTAGTGATAGAAATTAACCCAGCCTCCAACTGATGTAAATTTGCATATTTATGTTGACCAGAATTTTATCCAAACTACCATTGGGTTATATGTCTGATGCAAGTGGACCAATCTAACCTCAAAGATTTGACCAGCTTTGGGCAGGAGTGTGTGTGTGACTCCGCATATTCTTTTGTTCTGTTGATTATCAGGTCACTATTTGTAGTGGTGCTTTGTTTGCACAGGGAGAGTATTGCACTATTTTCTTTTAAAAATATATAAAATACTAACAGAAAGGTCTAGTCAGCTGGATAAGTCACAGGTGAAGCAACTTCGCTGATGGCAAGTTTTGATTGTGTATGTCAACTATTTCCAGTGAGAGGGCCATTCAAATGAAACAAACAGCATTAGTTTACACCAAGTTACACTTTACATTGCTAGGCATACTTGGTGCATCATCAACCCGTGAAGAGTCTTGGCACTTTAATGTCTCTCAAAGCTCCTTTCATGGCACAACTAATTTGACAGCTGTCTAAATTACAGCAATGTGTGTTAATGTTATATTTTCTTAATACTGAAATTAAAGTTTGTCTCCCAGACCAAAATTTCCATCTCGGTCTGTACTTCACAATGCTAACTTTGGCATCAGTAGTCTGATAAATTGCTCAAAACAATTTTCAACCAGTCGGAGCAGATATGATTTTCTTCACTTTGGATGAATATCAAAAGTAGATCCCCAACCAACTGCTTCATCTTGCCAGATATTACTTGATAACACAATGTCATTTTGTAGTGACAGGCCATAATTTTGTTCTTATTCCAAACATTGCCTATCGCTGAAGTTCAGTTCACAACTTACAATCTAAAATAGTATCATAAGCTCACATCACATAGAATATCCCAGTGAGGGGTTATTTAAGGAATAGTTTCCAAAAACATGGTATGATCTTACGCTTTTTAGATCCAATTTGTAGCTTATATAATTTCTGATGAAATAGTCAATCACAGAAGTTGAAAAGCAACTGAAGCAATGGGACAGAAATCCCAGATCCAGATTTTGGGATCAGCTAGTGATAATTCACAAGGAAAATATTTTCTATGAGTATGGTTTATACTAGGCTTCTGAAATGAATTGGGAGAACTAAAGATCATTAAATATAAAGATGTAAAAGTCAGTTCTCAATAATATATCGTATGCTTGATAAACAAATTCGCTGACCACTTATCAGGTGTATTTTAATTTCAGTCCTCTGGATGCTGGCCAAAATACCGTGATTCTTCTGTACAAATGGTTATGAAACTCTTGCAAATCATTGACATTATTAAATCATTCCATATAATATACAGTTTTGAAAATAGTTTTCTATCTTTTATTTTCCATCTTACTTCATCTTACTGTTTTCTCTTGAAGTTTTGACTGATGTTGCAGGTACATTCCAGAGCCCTGCATGATTGTGCTGATGACAAGAGAATATCTATACAGGACATTTTCTGAGTCTTCTAAATATAGATGACAGGATTTTATACCACCTGACCATCTGACTTTTCAGAGATAATTAAAGGGATTGGCCTTCCACATAGAGAGTAAAAAAAAAAAAAAAAATAAAAGAAGAAAAGGCAGCTGAGTCATACCTAAAATCATGCTGATGTATTTTAAGAATCCATTTTCCCTTCTGTTTTCATTCTTTTGTTGGAGATACTTTATCTCATTTATTTAATTTTCTACATATAGAAGACAGTAATAGGTCAGTCTCTTGAAAAATTTTCACTCCTGTATTGTACTGATTGGCAAGAACTTATTTCATAATAGTTACTGTTCAGAGTAAGATTTTCTTGAATTTTATTTAGGATCAAAAAAGAGCATTGGCTGATTGTAACTTAGAAGGGTAAATATTATAGGGCAAGGACTACACTTTAAAAGAGGGTAAATTTTTAGGACTTCCTTTCATCCTTTTTAAGGTATAGAGAGAAGTCCCATGTAACCATGATACCTTTGCATATAATGTCTTCATACAATAATCATCATTCAAAGAGAGTTTTTCTCTGCTGTCTTAGCCTGAATCTTATTGTCTTAGCCACAACAGTTCTTACAGCTATTTACAGAATAATTTTATTTAATTAGGTGGTATTTGTTAGCACAAAGTTGATGGTTAATTAGGGATAATTCTATGCTTAAATGAACTGAATATCTTTCCAAGACATGTTCCAGTCATATACAGTGTGAAGGCATAAATTTCTTCATAGTCGTATTACCTCAGGGCATCTTTTTTTATACAGTTTTACCCTGCCTCTAGTGGCAACTACATAGCATCCTGTAGGTCCAGGGGTTTACTTTAAAAGCACAGAGTAATACCTGGAGGAAATAATACTTACAATTACTCCTACTACAGCAACACAAATTATCAGAGTTCTTTTGCAGTAGGTGCTTTACATGCATGAGGGTAGAGTCTCTGCCTCAAAAGGCTTCTTGTCTGAATAAGCACAATTGAGAAAAATTAGCTATTATTGTCTTCACTGGCAAGAATTGAAAAAAAGTCATTCACTGAGTAGGCTTATGTCATGCAGGAAGCTGACCGATTGACCATAAGTATTCTCAGTTCCAGTACAATACTTTAACCAAAAAAAGTCCTTATTTGTTAGATATCTGAGTGAGAACATCCTGCTATATAGCCTGACATTCCTTTCTCTAGAAAACATTCTCCTACTGCTAATCTTAATCTTAGCTTTTCTTTTTTAAGTCCTATAAACCTCTGAATTTATATTAAATTATTGGAAGAAAGACTGTGAAGTGATTAAAGGCAGTATATACAATAACTAAAACACTCTTAGGAATCAGTTCAGTTTTATTGCATGTAGTCTGCTCAGCCAAGTCATATATGTCTAGTTCCAGGTACTTGCTTCTTGTCTCTGTATAGTGTTGGTAGGAAATTGGCACCATAGGTGTTCTTTACAGGAAGGAATGATTTATGTCCCAACATAAAATGAGTTTGAACAGCTCATAGGATCTGAAAAATGCCAGTTAATTTTCCCTTTGATTTTCTGCAGTGTTAAGGAGTAGTTCCCAGGATATTTGTTGGCTGACCTTGCAACCTGGAACATCATGGTCTAGTGGTACTTCTTGCAGACCAGCTGGCAGCCTGTTATAAATGTATGAACACCATATGCATGTATATGTTAGTGCAACTTTCTTTTCCCTGCAGCATAAAGCTTTAAGTCCGTTGGTTATTCCTGCTGCAGTTTGCTGAAGGTTTGATAACTAAAGGATGATGTTAAAGAGGAGGGAACAACTTTTGTCATGTCCCCATTTCGGTCTGAAGAGACCTGTCAGCACACAATTCAGCAGACACTTTGCTGTGAGGAAGGGATCCAGGGAAGAGAAGATGCACATCTTTTGCTTATGCAATGGAATATCCCATTCAACCTGATAACACTTTTACAACATTCAAGGAGGAAGGTGTAGTTTTCTGCCACCAGACTTGAAAGAGGAGATATAACAGCTTTCATCAGGTTGTCATGCCATCAGGTTCACAGCCAAACAACCTCAGCATGAAGCATTATCCACTTTGCTGTTAGCCTGGACTGCTATAGAGCACAGCCAATCACAGTCATATAACATTTGTTTCTGCTATGCAAGTATCTGAAAGAACCAAACTGAGAACTGTTTTTTTTTTGCCATCTGTCTGGTGCAGGGCTTCAATACAAGGGGAATTTATTGGTGGACCTTGTAAACTTGGATCAAGTTGATTAACTCTGTTTCCTCAAAAGGAGAAGTGGTTGTTTGTACCACTCCCATGTTTCACCTCAGCACTGGACAGGTAAAGAGTACATTAAGTTATTACAGTCTTCTACCTGATTTTATATGTGTTCTTCTAATGTGCTGATCATTGTGTTATCTCATCACTTAAAAATTTGACAGAATTACTAGCAGCTACTGTGACTGTCACCTTACGAATATAACAGGAAGTATTGCACGTCAATCTCTGTTAGTTATTGGATTGTACTGATTTGTAGGTTCTCTTGGATATATATGAAAATAAGATTGCCCTTAGGACAGCAAGGATATTTTAAAATATTGTCTAAATCCACTTAAAGATACAGAATTCTAAGTCCTGATGCTTTCTATATTTTTATTATATGATGAAAGCAAGCTGTCTTTGAAATTTTGAGAAAATGCTATTATACCACTGTATAAATCCACATTAGGCTTGGATCTTGACAGCTTTAAACAATTCTGGTTCCTCCATCCCAAATAAAATGTAAAATATATTAAAAAGAGAGATGAATAACAAAGATAATCATGTGTATTCAATATTTTCCATAATATGAAAAACTTAAGGATAATAACGCTGTTTAGCCTGGAGAAAAGTTGACTAAGGGACAACATGCTAGAAGTCCATAAAGCCTGACGTAAATAAGGTGAGTAGAGTTCATTGTCCTTTCCAGTGTAAGACATAGGAGACCTCAAATGAAATTAGAAGGTGTTAGTTTCACAGCAAAAAGGGGAACTTGTGTGTGTAATGTGTAATTCAGTCAAGAAAGTCATCACCACAAGATGCTGAATATTTTTATGGTTTTATGGAGCAGTTGACAGATTCATGGAAGAAAATCCAAGGAGGTCTGCTTAACTGAAAGCTCTTACTTCTGCCTCAATAAACTGCAGGAAGCTGGGATGGTATTGTAGGTAAATGTTTATTTTCTTCCACTCTGCTGTAGGCAGAGTGTTACTGGCCAGTGGTAGAGTTGATGGTATGGCATAGATTCAGTATGATACAGCTGTTCTTTACATTCTTGTGTCCCAGAATCACTATCGCTGCTACAATTGAGAGATTTACTCTGGTTTTGATGTGAAAAACTCTCTAAAAAGTTTTGATGTGAAAAACTCTCTAAAAAGTTTTGATGTGAAAAGCTTTCTAAAATGAAACGATGCAGGTTTCAATTTCTAAACAAAATACCCTCATGAAGACTGATGCATTTTTTTATAGCTAATTAAAATATAGCTAGCTGTTGAATAATTGTAGAAGTAATAATGGAAAACTTGGAAAGGCTAATGATGAACTCTACAACCACCTTTTCAAACATGCCCTCTCTAATGTTTTATTGTCATACATAACCGAAATACTAGCATTCAGGGTTACTGATGTCCCCAGACTGGATCTGCCAAGACACCTAGATAAGTTAAGCATCCGCTTCTTGCTGAGGTTCAGAAGTTGGCATCTTCCTTGTTTGACCTTATGGAAATCCTAGCCTGAATGCCTGTGTATGGTGCTGTGTATGCAAATTAGCGTCTTGTTATTTGAGGCACCTGTAAGAAAACTTGGCCAGATATCTTAAAATGAAGATTAACATTCATCTGGCACACACACCCTGGAACAGAGTGTCTCTTCCTCACAGAGATAGAGATCTGAGTAGCAAATGCTTTCTCCTTTTGTTTGGATTTGCTATGCACCTCTGCTTTGATTTTATGTTCTGTAAATATATTCTAGAAACATTTTTCTCTCTAATGACTAGCTAAATATAAGAGAAGGAATAAATCTTATATCATTCCTCCAAATCCCGAGCTATCTCTCTGCATGTATTTCTGGATTAAATAGTTTTTTTTCCCCTTACAGTTTGTTTCCCTCCCCCCCCCCCCGATTCCTGCTAAGTCTTTTGCAATAATTCTAGAGGTACAGCAGCCTGATATGCCTACCCATCACCAATTTTCTATATGGCCAAGAAAATGTCAGGGATGTAATGCTGGCAATATCTTTGGAGACCAATTCAGATATAAAATATAAAGAATCCTGGTTTACAATTGACGTTACTGAAGTAACTATTTGCTAGGCATCATTACTGTATACAGTAGGAAATAGGTACAGCTATTACTTTAGAAAAAAACGATTTGTGAAGCCTGTCATAAAAGACTAAGAGAATACCTTTTTTGCTTCACATCTCTTAACTGCCTCCATAAAATTTAAGGAATTGCAATAAAACTTGGGATATGCTTTCACTGTGAGCTCTGTTTGGCAGTACTTAGGAGATTACCTTGTGCTCAAGACCAATTGGAATGTTTGCACATAAGAAATTATTTAAAATTGTATTTATTTTCTGGCCTTTTTTTAGTTTAAAAGTTCTTTCTCAATCTGACTCTCTTGCTTTCTCTCCCCATCTCTTTCTCTTTTTAAAACAGAAAGATCTTTAAACAGTTCACTGCCTCCTTGGCATTTCTTCATTCTGCTTTTCATTTCATGGGAAATCTCCTGGGCTCTGACCAGTTCAAAAAGCAACTTTGTAGTTTTCTACGGTAAATGACTGGCAGTATTGGGAGCTGTGCTCTTTGTCTGACAGACAACTGCATTCACAAGGCTAAGCATTTGGACTGAACTTTTAATTTAACCCCACTGACTTCTTTTTCTCCATCTCTCAGCATTGTCTGCATTGTATTTCCTACCATAGCAATGTATCTTTTGTTTCTGAAGCAGCTGCGTTTTTTTCTGTGATCCTAAATGTAGCTTTGGTGCATAGTTTGGGGTCTAATGAAGATGTGCTTTGTGTGTGTGCTGTTGCATATAATAGCCAGAGACATTTAGAAGGTAGCCCATGCCAGAAGAAATAGAGCTTGTTACTCTTTCATAGTTCACAGGAGACTGATATCATGTCAGTCTATTTAGTGATGAAAAAAAAAAGTGCTAGTAAAACTATCAGTTTTGTGGAAATTGTAAGTAAAATACTAAAGGATGAATTCAGCTGGAGCTTGAATAACTCTCATATTAGTGTCTCTGTGCAGAAATCGTGGCATGCTGATGAGATGGTTTGAAGAATTTTTCGATATCATCTGAATACCTTTGTAGTATCTCATGTAGCAGAGTACTGTGATAGGCCTCATTAGTTTACATGCTTAAAACTGTGTGTGCTTTGGTGCTGTCAGCACACCCCTGCAAGATTTTGCTGTTGCAGTTGTGGTGTGGATGGAATCTGTGTGATGTTTCCATGAGGCTGGCTGCTTCTTCCTTGGAAGAGGTAGAGAATAACATGTTTTACTCTGTTGATCAGACATCTGTACCAGCCCAGGGCTAGAATTTGGACTGCATCAACTACCTTCCATAGAAAAAGAGAGGGCAAAGTAAGTGTGTCATTCATCTATACTCAGACTGGGATTCACTGCCAGGATGCACCACAGAAACATCTCGGCCTGTGAAAAGTACCTTTAAACTCAAATCTAGCCCAAATTACTGCTATTTTTTTTCGCCACACACATCCAAATAAACAATACTGATGCTTAATGAGGTAAAGAGCGCAGTCCTTGGTCCCATGTGAAAAGTGCTGGCAGTGTGTAACCTTTCATAAGTAGTTGGTTCACTTTAATAACTGGGAAATATAAAAAGGCAGAAACCTTTTGAATTAAGAAAGTGGTGAAATATTTGTGTATATTTAAAACACTATGAAGTTAGTATCTTGTACAGGCAACATGCAATATTTTCATTCTAATATAAGAATCTATGGCATTTGAAAGAATTTATTCTCTTAACCATACGTGTCTTTTCTGCAGCACTCAGTTTTGATGTATGTATGCGTAAGAATCTTAGACACTTTATTATACTTGTGTAAGTTTTATCTGTGCGTGTTGCAAGAGGGTGTATAAATGTCTCCTGAATGTTACCAGTTACAGGTCGGCTCTTGCTTTGAAACAAAGAGTATGCTAATACTACATTAAAAGTTTCAAGTTCAGACACACAGTACACAGAATGTAATTCCAAGATGCCACAAACCCCATTAAAAGCCCACCTTTACTTTGCTTCTATATCTGCTTGTCTAAATGCAATCTGTAGACCACAAATCTCATATTTACTGATGTTACATCAGATACATTTCTAGTGTAGATTATGGAATACCAGGACATGTATCTCCTGTGTGTAAAAGGATGCCATATTTTGTTTCTACCCATCTAGCAACAAAATTAGATGGGTAGAAACAGAGACTTGACCATCTTCCATTATACCATTCTTCTGTAGTTAAAGGATGACAACATATTCCACTATACTTGTTTGTACTTGCGTGATGTATGGAACGATTCCATACTATGCTATCATTAAGCAAAAAGCCCAATTTATATTGAGATGTCTCTAATTACAAATGATCACCCTTCTCAGATTGTGGAATTCTGTGGTCTGCTCAAGATTCAAGCGTTTATGAGGAGTCAAGGTGCAAGAGATGAAAACTGAGATTGTAGTTTAGAGCAGCCTCAGGAATACCCTTTCCAAACAAACACGAGCAGCTCAAAGGAAACACTGGCATCTGGAACACAGCAATATTGCATTTATATATTAATAGTTATATCACATATATTCTGTTATATTAACATGGTATTGTTGACTCTGTACAGAAGCCTGATAAGGACTTATACACTGTCCTGGGTTCAGTAGTAGCAGCCATTTTTCTCCTTCTTAGTAGCTGATGCAGTGAACCAGTTCAGCTGGTGCTGAACCCAGGACATACACACAGAACATATTTTGGCCTAAAGGCGTAATTTTAGTAAGATATTTAAACAAATAACAAAAAAATGTATTTATTAATTGTACAGAGCAGGTAAAGGCTAGTTCCTTTTGCATGCAGCTGCTCTTATGAGCCTTCTGGACACAGAACATGAGCGAAGATCATTAAAGAGCTTACAGACTACTTAAAAGGATATTACCCTGTTTCTGTACACTGCTTATTATAAAGCTCACACACCTCAGAATGCATTATTACTAAATTACTTATTGATTCTGAATAAGGTTGTCAATGTGTCTGTGAGCCAGATTTTATTTATGGTGTGGTTCTGAAAGAATGGTGCAATTTATATATCTATCTAGTCAAGTCAGTGGAGAAAACTTATATCCATATTCTTTCTGTAGTGATTTAAAATTCTCAAGTCAGTGTCTGAAAAAGGATTGTGTTTGGTTTTGGGGTTTTTGTTTTGCATTTCTGCATGTACTATTTTTTAGCTTCAGCTGACCAAATATAAATGTGCAGAATGTCCCTATTCACCCTTTCTGATTGCCCAAGTAACGTGATGTAGTACATTTGTTTTCTAAGCAGCATACTACAGAGACTCCAGAAGCTACTGAAGATTTGAGAAGGATCATGGGAGTGATGACAGTAACCTTTTGTAGAGTGAGTCTATAATTTATTAGATGGAAAGAGCAGACATAAGAGGCAATCTGAACTGAAGAGGTGGCTGGGAAGTGCATGAATTTTTAGGAGAGGGATATGCTCATCCACTTTCTGATTCTATGACCAGCATTTTTCCATTATTTAAATGGTTCCCTGTTTTTGGCTTCCCACTTGTCCTTTCTTCTCCAAGAAGAAAGGCTTGTGTTTAATTTCTTAGCTCAGGTGGGATTCTGAGGACTTTAAAAGAGTAAAGCATTTGATAGGAGAAAGAATGGCAAAGGACAAAGACTGGGAGTAGAGGATATTTCAAATAGGCAAAATTGTATGGGAAATAGGGATAATGAGTTGATAAGGAAATTAAGAGAAGTTGTATAAAATTTCTTCCTCTGCTGCCCATGCTCACACATTTCATTCTGAAATCTTGTCACTTCTTTCCATCTCATTCTCCCTGAGATGGAATCTGTCTGTTCTGATCGGTCTTCAGTCTTGCTCCTTCAGTCCTCCTCAACAGTATTGTTGATGTTACCTACATTTATGCAATAGCAGAAAAAATATGTCACCAGTGTTCAGTTCTATCTATTCAACATGTAGCTACAATTGGGCTTTATATGGCTGTGACTCTGTAGCTTGCCTGACTAGTATGATAATTGTATAGAACCATTCTTTGCCTTTCCTAATAAACTGACTTATATAATTTCTCTGTTTTCCCAAAATCCTGTAGTTGACTGCAGTTCCGAAGCATTGTTTTGGATGGCAGTGGCCTTTTCTGCATAAGTGTCCCTTTCATGCAGTAAGATGAAGCTTTTGCCATGTCTTAACAGGTAGGTACCTCTTTGTACAAATAGCATGGTAATTTCTGAGTCACATTCAGCTTGTTCCTTGCTGCGTTTGTGGGAGAGTTTGTAAGTGGAAATAGAATCTAGATACACATTTATTTCTGTCAATTTGATTCAGTTGGATTCAACAGTGTGTTTCTTATTTTTTCTTGTAAAATAGAGAAGCCTTTGATTGACATTAATACACCAGGAAGACTAAGAATCATGTTTAACTCTACAGTGAATATGCAGAGCTATTGACAAAACAGAATATTTTGAATATTTTTCATTAACTTTCTATTCTCCCTTCCTTGAAGAAAAACAAGTGAAAAGCAATGAACTTCCTTTGGAAGTTGCTAAGTGCTCATATTCTATACTGATAAAGATTTATAAATACCCAGATAGCACAAAAATATATACCTACAAACATTTCAAGAAAGTTTTCTAAAGTAATATTAACAATACATTATTTTTAATATTAATGAACTGTTGAAGATAATTTTCACCATATAAACTTATAAATTGCTGCCATTATGCTGATCTTAATTGATTCTCTTATAAGAATTACAGTTGCTAATTTTGCATTCATAGTATGTGAATTTCTTCATTAGCGATTATTTTATGGCTCATTTTAACTGTGAGATGACAGTTTCACTGCATTTTCTTTTCCTTTCTGTTTCTATCTTTTCAATAACACTGATATGGAAATTCATCATGTCAAACTTCTGGAATGCTCTGATTCTTGTCTCCTTCTTAGCCCTCAGTTTGTTAACCAAGCAAATGTGATACGGAGATCATATTGGTAACCCTCTGTTGCAAAGCTAGTCTGCATGGTGCTGCTAAGCTACAGATGTCTAAGCATGAAGGTCTGCAAACATTGTTGGAATTGTTATTAGCACTGCTTTCTGCATTTTCTCCAGAAGAAGTTAGTGACAGAAGGACCAGCTGACAGGCAACCAGCGAAAATGTGGTTCTTATTATTCCCAAGTGTTTCTTATGGTAGAAGGTAGATTCTTGTCCCAAGCAGACAGGGAGATACACAGCACCAAGAGTAATTTCATAAATGTTATTATCACTCCATTACAGGCAAGAACTGACATTGCATTTGGCTGCAGAAGAGGTATGTCTACAGGAAGGAGCAGCTGGAGATAGCCCTTTAGCATATGTAGAGGGTGGAGACACAGTATGGACTCAGAGAGCTGTAGGATGTAGGGCTCCAACAGTGTGTGTATAATGCAAAAGAGACTAAGGCCAGGGAATACGCTCCTTGGGATGCTGATTGTCCCTTATGTTTAATACTTGCTTTACAGCCTGTCACTGCTTTGTGTTGTCAATACCAGGTTTGTTTTCCCCACCGTTAATCAACATTCTAGGATGCTTTACACCTTCAAGGCTTCTGTTACACTGCAGAGTGTTCAACATATAGCCTCAATTTCATGCTGATAAAACGTCATTTTGGTAAGCTGTGACACAGCAATCACATTATTCAAAATGCTCTGAACTGAGAATAATATGCAATGAAATAGTGTTTATGCACTCAAGCTATGAGATGACTATAGGGGTCAAAAGGGAAACCTTTGGCAAAATGTTATGTAGAGTGGCCAGGCAATGCCACTCAGGGTCTTGAGCTTTATTTAGCAACATGGATGAAGTCCTAGTCATGAGTTTAGTATATCAGAACTGATGTAAAATGCTGTCTGGTATCAAATGTGGTATCTGTGGTCATTTTCTAGCAGTCATCTCATGAACTGGTGTGGGAGCAAGAACTGAAACTTAGGCTCTCCAGACTTCCAGTCCTTGTTCTCATTGTCTCCAGAAAATGCTACACTGAAATACAGTAGAAGAGGGGAAAAAATGCATCAAAGAAAGGTAAAAGTATGGTTCCTGATGACGTACTGTTTCTGTCATCAGTTCAATGGAGACTTGTAGTAGAGCAGGACGAGTTCTGTTCTCTGGAGCCTCTGGGAGTTCTGACTTGATTTCCAGTAGAAGTTGAAATGAATTCTGAAGTAATAAGAAATTTAAGTCAAATGCATTACTAAAATTATGTGTTATGGATGAATGAGGGATTAAAGAGCTTGAAAATAATGATTTACTCAAGTCAGCCTTGAGGATCAAAGCTTTGTCTTCACTGCTGTCTCAAGGTGGACTTAGTGCCTCATAGGATAGTTTCATGGCTCAGTGCAACACAGATAATTTGACATTCAAAGCTCTCAATGGCATGGATTAATGAAGCTTCTACAGTATGTTTAAAGTTCTTATTGCAAGCCAGCTCTTATACCCTTCCTGAATGCAGCTGTAACTGTTTCTGAATGCAGTTTCTGCCTTTTTTTTTTTTTTCCCTTCAGGGAAAATATCCTTGAAAAGATAGGGATAGGTGATTAAACCCAGCAGGAAATACATAAGGGAATTTTTGGTGGTCTAATCAGGGTTTTAGAGACTCCAGCAGAGCAGAAGTATTTTATAAATTTAATATGACAGTAAATAGTGTTATCACCATTTTGCAAATCCAAGAACTTATTCAAGATCATTATTCATAGCCCAGGAGTTTTTGTGTTTCTTTTCTTAGCTAACTGCATCATACCCTTGTTTCCAGCAGAAGGGCAGGAAGATACATATAAACTGTACTTCTTAGCTGGGATTATCTCATAAGGCAACCTTAAGTTTTGGCAGCCAGTGAAAGGTTTACAGCACATCAGCAAATTAGACATGAGGAGAGTTCATGGTAGTGCTATCCGCCCTTTCTCTATCAACTTCCAACCAGCAGAGGTCAGAGTAATTTTCTCCTTGTCACTTTTGGGGTTTTTGTAGCAAATGAGGTGATCAGACTGTGCTATTGAAGAGCATTGTAACACTTGGGTAGTTTCAGCACAATGCAGTTCCTTTGCAAGACTCCATCGCCCTTGCACAGCAAGTTCCTGGCCTACTCTCAGCTTGTAAGAAGCGATCTGATGGTCAGTGCTGCTGGTTCCTCTCACTGAGCCTTTTCCAAAGTGGCAGATATTGTATGTGCTTTCTTTCCACGCACTTGCTGTAACAGACTTCCAATTCTTTCAAGGGTGAAATCAGTAATACTGCATATTGAACACTCCTACTTTGCACAGGTTTGGTGCCTTAAGCAGAAGATGCTATATACAGGATGATACAATAATTGAGAGATGTTGTATGGATAAAATTTAACTGCTAACTTTTAATGTACATATAAACATCTAGACAAATCTAGAGAAAAGGCAACATGGCTACCTAATTATTATGAAAAATGGTATTCATGTTTTGTACAGTTATGATTATATTAAGCCTTTTTCAAGCAGCTAATATGCAGATCTGGTTCAAGATAGATTAATTTGTGATATGAACACTTAAGCTATATAATTCACTCTGATTGAAGAGGCAATACTAAAATGTGGCATTAGCAGATGTTAGATGTATTTTGGCTCCAAATCTATTCACTAGGTAAAGCTCCCCTCGTTCTAAACAGTTAAACACTCTAATACCTTGATTTGACTTTCATCTGTGTTTTGTTTCTTTGACTTATTCTTGAAGTCCTGTTGCTGTAGGAATAGCGAGTTCTTTGATGAAATGAAGCACATTCCAGATTCAGCTCTTAAGGTCTGAATGGGGGCTGTTTGGCAGGATCAGACAGAATGGTTCTTAAAAACCACCTGATCCTTTCTGTTTAATATTCAACACTGTATTTTCTTTCTCCTCAAACTCATTGGCCATCACAGGGCACGTCTCTGGGCACTCTACTAGGTGCCGTGAATTATTCACTGCCACTCTTTTCGACCCAGAACAGAGGAAGTGTGCGTTGTGCATCATGCTGGCCCCAGCAATTCCATAAATCCACGTTTTCTGAGATGTAAGTGAAGCTCCAAACTATCTCCTTAATTCAATTGAGAATGAACTAGTTAAACACATTTGCTCAATCAAGCTCCTAGGTTCTGATCCAGATCCAGAATTTAATCTGCAGTGTGGATGTCCCTGAAAATTGAAGTGTGAAAGAAGGGAAGAGATAGGGAAATTATTAAACTGCAGTTTCTCAATACACAAAAAACCAGCTATGATTAGAGTTCAGTTGGGGGCCAACTGTATGTATAGTTGGGTATAGTTCTGTTTCATTTGCTATAAACACAGAAATTGTACCTGGATGTCAGCATACAAGCTATGCAAATTTGACTTAATATCTGTGAAGTCCTAAATTATCAGCAGAGCAGTATCCTATGAAAGCTGTGTCTAAAATACCTAACTGTGTGCATTTAAGGAGATATTAAATTGAATGCTCCTCTTACTGTTATAAATGACTGCTTTGCAGTCTTTGTCAGCAGAGTTGTGGCATTCGTCCTGTCATTAAGAATAAGATAACCATCTGCATTTCTGCAGAGTGATGGCTACCCAGAGTGAGTTCAATAAAAGAAAATTATGGCTTTGTGCTTTGCTACAGCCAACAAGTAGCAGGACTTGCAGTGAGGCAAAAAACAGAAAATCACCTTATGCGTTAAGTAAGCACTAGCTGAGCAGACACTTGAATTGTAATACCTCCAAAATGAATATCATGCAAGTGATAAGTAATGACCTGTTCATGAGGAATTGAACACACTGGGTTGTCAGGGACACTGGTGGATACATGTCAGGGAAACACTTAAGGTACATTGGTGATCTCTGTGTGAAACAGTTGACAGTACATGAGCACAAGCTATGAGACCATTTTCTTATCAGCTTCCATTTTCTTCCTTCAAAATAAATCTCTTCAGTTCTAGTTCAGCATATCATTCTTTTCTCATTCTATGAAATAGGATCTTCTGCAACAGCCTGCTCCTTTAGCATGAAAGATTATCTCCTGGAAATCAAAGCAGGTCAAAAGATGGCCTTAGAGACCCCTTAGAGGTGGTATAGGCCTCCTTTTTAGGATTTTAATATGCCATATTGGAGAGTGGTGTTTTCTAACCAGGCAGATTGCTGTAAAATGTCCAGTTATCTTATTTGTCAAGTAATAAAAGCCTTTCTCA